AAAAGAAATTTTGTTCTTTGTTTCGCGGATGACAAGTCCAGAATTATCATTCTTGCGAGTAAAACTTGGGTCAAATCCCATGAAACGTCCCGTGGATCGAGACAAGGCATAAAGAAGCCAATTTTCGAGTTACTATGCATGTAGATAAAGTTCTTTTGCATAAATGTCTCCAATCGATACATTTATAAAAACCTATTCACAGCGCTCTCTGTCGCTTTGCAGTTGAGAGCCCATCCAAGTCTTTTCAGCTATTTTCAGCTGCGAAAGAGCCGTTTCACCACCCTTTAAATTCTTCATCTTTTAAATTGACATTTCCGATTAATATACAAATGCTTCAGCAGACACTTGTGTCCGTATCAACTCGTTGTTTTTACAAAAAGTTGTTGTCAGATAAGGCCTGGAGCCTCATTCAATTAATGAGGAAAAATTAGTATTTTTCGACCTTGCTATAAGTATCGATTTACCGACGCCAAAACACGGTTGCAATCAAATGATATCAGTACGTGTGTTGTTTGTTTGTTTTATACATTTCTTATATTGGTAAACTTGTATTTAAGCGTTTAAGTGTACATCCCAACCGAAAAAATCGAGGAAAACTTAACGCAACCTTCAAGTTGGACCAAATTGTTGTTCCCTTGACGAAAGAGCATACCTTTATGCCAAGGTTGCCAAGTTTCCACTCATTATATTTGCATTTTCATGCACTGCTGGGCGTTTTAAAATGAAAACTTTACAGATGTTCCTACCAATCACCCACAAAAATCAGCGAAACTTTTGACAGAAATTGTGCCGCTATGTTTTTGTATAAAATTGAATCCTTCGATTCGGTTTTGCAACTTTGGTAGAATGGATAACGATCTTTCGTCTGAGGAACGAAAAAATAACAATTTCATTTTTCCGCCCAATGGCGGCGGGAGGGGGCATTCCCCATCCTCATTGCCTGGCGCAAAACCGTGGATCCATTCCAAGCAGTGGCGTGGCGTGCTTCGTGATGCACGATTGATCTGCCATTTAAACCTATGTAAAAGGATCGATAAACAGGTTGTTCGCAACGAACACCTTCATAATCGATTCTTCAACGTAACTTCAAATGGAAGGAAAATCGATAATCGATCATTCACGCCTCGCCACTGATTCCAGACACATCCACAAATTCAGCACGAGTCCTCTCCCGCAATCTCTGAGCGCGCGAGGAGTTGACGCTGACGTAACTGAATTCGCTGTAACGAGTTTGCCTGAAACCCCGACGACGTCAGGAAATCAAATGTCAGAGCCCCCTCCGCACCCCCCTTCCCGCCCCCGGAACCCCTATCCCGGTTATGTATCAATTGCAAGGTGGGCGTGGCGCGCCCCACCCCGTCGCCCTCTGCTATTCAACCCCCTACCCCTCCAACCCGTTCCCCACGCTTTCCCGGAGCCGAGCCGTCTCGTCTGTATGCGGATCCCGGCTCAGCCTGCATGGGAGAGTTTTCCCGAGCGTGGGAGAAAGGGGGGTGGGGAAGAGGGGATCTTACACCATCCCCCAGTCCCGCGCCTATGATTTCGAATGGCTCCTCGCAAAAACGGTGGATTTGCAGTGAATTTGGCTTTGCCCGTTCTTGCAGCCGATGAATACCGCTGAGAATAATTACGACCGAGTATATCCGTTGTTTTATTGATTTGTAATATACCTTCCCCTCCGTCCCATATCTTGCTAATGAATGATTCCGTAATAAATTATGGGAACAGAAGTACTATGTATATGACTGACTACTATTATAAAGTGTGAAAAACCCTAAAACTTGGGAAAGAAGGCTAAAAATAAGGGAATGAAAGGAAATAAGGAATCATCCTAAAAAATAAGCTTTAAAAAATCGTAACTTTCGACCGACTACTTGGCCATTATCAATCGGAAATGAAGAGAAAATAATAATGAATGTAAAAAACGACTGAAACTTGATACAAGAAAAACCAGAAAGAAGTTCTGGCGAGAGAGAAATTTGTCTGGCCAATTGGCTTAAGTGTTTTGTGGTCCTTTTCTACCTTGTTTTCAGCATTGTTTTCCGTGTTTTAGTTGTGTTTCTCATTTTATTGTAAAATATAATAGAGATTCGATACCAGTTGGGCGGGCTGAACCGAAATCAGCCTGATTGTATATCTTTTTGCCAGATTTCTTTTGAGATATTTGCCTTCTTCCTTTTTTACGTAACAACGAAGCATCATTCCGGCTAGTTTGCCGTGAATTTCCTTCAGAGTCTAACGTATGCACTAAATAATGTTCCAGGCACAATTTTGCTTAGTATTTGACTCAAAAAATCATAAGAGAGAATCAGGTAACCTCTGATGCGGTCCCAACTAAGTTATGAAAAACAAAATCAGGCGAAGTAATTTTTTTTTTTTTTTTTTTTTCAAAGAATATTGCACTTCTTAGTGAGCAGTGGCACTTAGTTTCGTCAGCAGGGGGCTAAAAAAATTCGCGGTCAATAAAAATTTGGAGAATCAGTTTGTCAAAATCCCCGCTTTTTTTATGAACAGATATTGCTAAACGCAACATACATCAGCAAATCACTTTGAAAAATTGGATGGACCTTGTCCACGAGATCAATCTGCATGTTAATCAATTAAGGTCACGTGGCTTTTCTAGAATATAAATCAATGGAAAAGCTGCGTGACCCTGACCGTCATTCATTTACGAGCAAATTGATCACGTGACCAAGGTTTTAGTTTAACCCGAATCTAAATCTTATTTTGAAGCTCCCAGGTTTGTACATGTCGAAAGCAATTAGTCAAATCAGGCATTTTATCAAATGCCTAGGCCGGTAGGCAAATTTCGACAGTTTATGGAATTTTGATGTACATTTGTGGCGAGTGGTTCACCGGTTTTCAATATTTTGGGGAGAATAACTCTTCAAATCCGCGAACTCTTCTTTGTTTCTTCCTTTTTACATGCCTTTAGTACATTCAAATATTCAAATTTTAAAAATTCTATGTCTTATGACGTGCTGAAAATGTCATGCTCATGCTCAATTTTACGTAAGATTTCTCAAAGCAAGCTAAATCTTAAAATTAGCGACTCTCACAAAAAGTTCATGATTCACTATTCTAGTATTTTCACAGCCCTGTGTGGCAACTCCCCTCGAAACGTTATCCCCAAATCAGTGATCAGCAGGTATTTCACCTGACAGCTCGGAAAGGGTGGAGGCTGGCGCGGAGCTGAATTCCTGAAAAGTGCATCACCATGGAACAACTTTACAGAGTTTAATCACGGCTGCGCTATTTCGCATTGCCATATTGATCCTCCTCTCTGGAGACGGATTTCGAAATCCTAAAGTAGAAGTGTAAAGAGCCTTACCTTAAACTTTGGATTACATTTCATTTAGTTCCGGCACATCGTGCCATACGCAAATACGCAACAAAAAATGTTGCATTTTGTCACGTATAGAATACACGTTACATATGTGCATTGTGGCTATAAATAAAACAACCGAAAAATGAGTGTAGCAAAATGTGGCAATGGACCACTAGACAAGGTAAGAATTTAAGCAATCTGATATATGTTTCTTAACTAGAATTTTACGTCGAACACGATTCGCACAACGAAATTTACTGAAACCCACTCCTAACGAAGATTTACGACGTTTTTATTTCACATTGGTTATGAGGAATTTGAACTACCCGCTCACAAGAAACTCAAAGCTCTACGTGAGTCAAATCGCGCACTACAACGGTTTCAGCAAGCTCTTCAATCGAGCAATGTTCATTTCCCACCATGTGTTGTTCAAACTATTAGCAATTTGTTGTAGCTGAGCCAAAGCGTCAAGATTGAGGTTGCCAGATTTTTATATCGCAGAGACTGTCATGGTAACGTTTAGCGCGCGATGTGAATCACGTAGAGCATTGAGTTTTCATGAGCGGGTGGTTTGAATTCACACATCAGGAATCATTTAATATTTTCGTAAGGAGTTCATTTCGGCAATTTTGATTGTGCACATCGTGTTCTACGTGAAATTTTAGTTACGAAACATGTATCAGAATGCTGAAATTCGTATCTTGTCTAGTGGTCCATTGAGGTGTTGGGGTGCAGGAAGGGCATTTGATGGATTTGGAGGACATGGCACGCATAAATGCAGTTTTTGCTATTTTGAGAAATACGTGTTTAAAGTTTCGAAATTACGTGGACTCTTATAGCGGAAAGAAAGTTTAAACTGACTTTTTAATGCTGAAAAATTGGAATTTGGGAGCAAATTTTGCACAGAATATGCATTAAGACTAGTTTTACTTTAAATCATTGATATCTCAATTTTTCAAAAGCTGCACTTATGTGGCTTGTCCTCAAAACCCATCTTCTAGGTTGCGGTGTTTCAGAATCTCCAGTGCTAAGTTTTATTCTAGAGAGGAAACTGTGAGGTGGATTTTCTGGAATTTTACGTTTTCAGCAATGTAAAATCACAAAAAATATTCAGTAGAATTACAAAAAAGTACATGCATTTGCTTTAATCATAATGGATGAAACGTTAGCGGAAATTTTGAGACACTGCGACCAAGAAATGCCCTCTCTGCACCCAGCGCTTCAATTTTGTTGCGAGGCGCCACGAGCCGCGATTATATAAACAGATACCAAAATTTAGCGTGGTTTGAACCATGCATTCTCTTCATGCCTGTCTCATTCTTAGTTAAAAAATTAAAAATGATTACGTTGTCTATTCACTTCTAGTAATGTTAAGTTTCAAAGTATCTTTCTACTAAGTCTAAAAGTTAGTCAAAACAATGAACTCCTTGGTCCAGGAAGTAGTAACCAATGATCGGAAGAAGCTTTTGGCAATGGAAGTGAAACTTCCTTCATTTTGTGTGTCATACAATCTTGTTCTCGAAGAGCTGAATAAGTTATCTACCCTATGAATTGAAGGCGCGCTGAACTCAGTAAGAACGATGACAGTTACTGGTTGTTGCTGAAGCAATTACTGCCATGATTTCGTTTATTTTTAACGAGGAATCGTGAAGTTTAAAAGGAAAATGCAGGCTTAAATGAAAAAAACTTTATCGTGTGACATATTTGTTACAAATAAATACAAATGTTTAAGTAATAAATTAAATTATAAATAAAACTATAAATAATCAGAAGTTATTGCACGCTGCCTGGTAACAGATCTTATTTACAATAACACAAATATAGGTGGAAATGAACTTATTTCGTTCATATGTGGGTCTTTTTTTTGCATCATAGATAATGAGATTTGAAAAAAAAAAGATTATAGGCACTGTGAGCAACTTTTACAGTAAACTTAAAAATATCCTCTCATACATAATTATCGATTCCACTGTAAGTATTAACATTATGGATGTGATGGTGAGACTAGTTCTTATGTTTTTTAGATAAACGTTCAGTTTAATAAAAAAAAAAAAAAAAATTCTAAACAATGATTGCCCAAATGCATTATCAAAAAGAACTATAATGGTATCGGGGCAAAAAGAAAAGAACAACCGGGAAATGTGATCTCAAGGTTGGTAGCTTTTCTGAATTGAGCAATTAATTAAAAGTTGCTTAAACGCAGATATATCAAAGCAGGATTGTTCCATAATCAATCTAAATCAGTAGGTAAGGACAATTGGGTCTCTCCTCAAGAAGAGTGACAATATATCATAATTTGTACTTTAAGATGGCCGGCTAACCTCGTGGATAAATTTCTGGTGTCGCCTATAAACAGCTTCATGAGGTTTGCTTTGTTTTTATTGAAAATAATCGTATATCTTCAGTGCAAACTGTAACTTTCTCTATCATTGCCTCGTTCACCGCTTTCCAACAATTCCCTGTGGCCTCTTTTTGGAGCAACTTTAGAATGCGTTTTAGCAAATCTCAGCGTCTTTGGCTTCCATCAAGATCTTTCTCAATTCTCAGATTTTTCGGTGGAAAATGAGTTTATTTTTTATCTGGAACAAAAGTATAAAGAAATTACGAAAAGAATCACGAAGGAAAATAGTCTGAAATTTACAGAAGTTTTAAATATTGAACTTAAACCGAAGAGAAGTTAATCACTGATCAACGAGTGAGGTGAAAGTTTTAGACAACAATTGAATAGTACAGTCATTCCGAGCGACATTCGCTCATGGTATCAGGGCCAGATTAAGAAGGTGGCCCCATGGGCCGCTGTCCATGGCGGCAAAATTTAGGGGGTGGCAAATTTTGCAATTTTTTTTAATGTAGGTATCAAAAAATGAGAGAAAACAATCGGATTCAGAAATTAAATTACAAACGAGCAAAGGCGACAAAATCTCTCATTTCGTGAGAGTAAAAGTATGGTAATTTCTAATTTTGTCGTCTTTCGGTAATACAAGAGACAACTTCTTTAATTAGTCGAGTTAAGAGGGAAACCAAACACGCTATTTGACCTGGAACGGAGCAGCGCGGCGGTCGGCATGAAACACATAGCGCCTACAAGACTGCATGAATACTTCACGCATTGCGTCAAACACACTGCGGTCAGCAGCAGTCGGCTTGAAACGCATAGTGCCTACAAGACTATATGAATACTTCACGCATTGCGCCAAACAGTGTGGTCAGCAGCGGTCGGCGTGAAACGCATAGCGCCTACAAGACTGCATAAATACTTCACGCATTGCGCCAACACAGTGCGGTCGGCACGGCGGTGGAAGTTAAAATCTTTAACCACATATATGTTTGTTCTTTCATAATTTTTTCGTTCTTTTTTATAAATAGAAGGCCTTGTCCAAACAGGGATGGGTTTACGGAGCTGAACTTTTGATACATAGTGTTGACAGAGCTTTTACAAAAAATGTACCAAACACGAGTAAACGCGTCTTATACACCCCTCCCCCACCGGCACGTTCACTTGATGGTTTTTATAGATCGTATTCGACAGATCACACAGGTGAGATTATATCGATATCGATCAGTTCAATATGTAACCTAAGCCTCAAACGTCAATTTAGAAATCTGAGGTAACGGGTCGTATGTGCTCGAATTTTTATCCTCTCGAGTACCAAATGGCAATGAAAAGTGAAATTGTTGGGAATTTTCTCATTTTCAGCTTCTCCAAATTAAATCCTAAAATTTTTGTATGAGGATATGTTCTATCGTTTTGAACCAAACGATACATCGAACCACTGTCGTCGAATACGATCTATTGATGTTTCAAAACAAATGAGAAGGGGGCGGAAAAATATAGGCGGCCCATAGGCGGCATGTAGGTAAATCCGGCCCTGCATGGTATACTGGATCTTGGTGAAAAAACACTAGAGGCCATTTTTTGCCCTGATAGTTGAATATTACATAATTTACCTACCGAAGTTTAATGACGTTTCAGTCAAACCATATGAGCCTCAATGTAGTTTTTAAGGTTTAACACGAATTTTCCAATTTTCCAAACACACACTACTATCTATAACACGTGAAACCTTCTGTGTAGGGACGTTCAGTTCAGCGAATTCCATTACAGTGCCAATGAAATTACTTCCATTTTGTTTCAAACATATCGTCGCTTGACTGACCTAAGGGCGTAACTTAACATTGAGATGAGCCCGGAAAAGCATTGAAATGTATGGGAAACAGGGCTCATTGCAGAGCGTAGTTACGTCCTTATGTCAGCCTAGCGACGATATGAGACGTACCAAAATATTATTTGCTCTCTCTATTTCTTAATTTTTTCGATCCCATCGAGTAGGCCGTTCTGTTTCATGTTTTAAATATGTTTAAAAAAGATGAGTGAATACAAAATGTTTTAGATACACAATGCATTGAAACACCAGTTCGCTCCGTGAATACAAGCAAATAAGCATACAATAAAAATTAAAAAGAGAGATAAAGTTTTCAATACTGTTTAGTTTGTGAGAGTCCATGATGTTGAGAGACATATTCGATGAGCGATTTCTACGGAAAATGAATAAATACCTGTTGGATTATAGGCGATCTTGATTTTCGCCGCGGATTGAATCCTTCTAATACGGTTGAGAATCTTTGGCTTGAAATGATTAATAGGTGCTTCAATTATTAGGTAACAATAAATAGAAATGAAGTATATTAGGACGATATCACCCCAGTTTTGGCCGCTATAAATCTGAAAAATTCAACAAATGTTTTAGAAAAATTTGCCCTCTTTTCTGCACTAAGCAAAGAATTTTAATTGCAGAAAGGCCTCTTCAGCATGAAGTAATCAAAATGTCAATTTTTGAAAATGAGGGCCTGTATGAGACGGAAGATCTCATTCCTATGGATCGCGTGATACCTGATCCGCCACCGGTAGAGATCCAAAAAGCGGGGATAGTGGAGACTTTTCGCATGAAATATCGGCTTTTTACTTAAAATTTGGATTCTGCGACGCAAAAAAACAGGAATCGATATATCACTTGGTGTTGTTCCATGGTAAAGATTAGTTAACCCCTGCGGCGCAATTTTGACTGCCATCTTGAATTAGAGGGGGGGGGGGTTGGAATTTCAAACATGACTTTCTCATCCTGGAAATTCAAGCCATGTATATTGCAATATTTTTCATTCTACTATCATCATGTTTTAGATGAGCAGTCGTAAATTAATCAAAAACGCTAGGAGCCTTGCATTCACTATGGACATTTCAATTTGCGATATTTCAAAAATTGGATCAGCCAAGATTTTGATTTTTCGCAATTTTAAGTATAGAAGTACCGTAGATTTATCCCCTGCAAAGTGTTTTTGGGTACATTTTTGTCGCATTTTTTTGCTTCAAGACCATTACGAGGTGATGTCATATGGCCTACCTCTCTAGGCATGAGCACTAAACTAAACAGTTTGGTCCGTGTTCAATGTATTAACCAAGTAAGTCTTTAACATTTAAGTGACTTACCAACTGTTCATACGTCATGTACTGTGGGGTTTTATAAGAACCTACGACGTAAAGAATCACCGGAATATTTAGCAGAAACGCCCAATACGACAACCGGCTCCCTGGTGCGAATATGTCATGCGCCAAGAAGAACACGTCAAGAACGCCTGTGAAAATTAAAAATACATGACAAAGATGATACTTTCTAAGACTGATAATAATTCAGACACTTCCACCGAGTATTGCCTCGGGAGGTATGGAAACTTTATGGTCTTGTACATTGACATGACAAGAAACGTTAATCATAAACGTCTGACTCGTAAACTTTTAGTTCAAGATTGTGAGTTTAAATTTATGAAAGACTATCTGCTAAAAATCTTTCAAAACGAAAAAAATTCACTCTCAGTAATGGAAAAGATAAAGACAAGTTTGGCTGCTGCATGCGGGCAGAGGCAACTTGAAATGATAAAAATTAAATCAAGAACTTCCCACGATCCCGCGGGAGTTCTCATGGAGTATAATTTTCTAAAATAATATTCAGGGAAAATGTCTCGATTTCTTGAGCGATGTTTTTTATTGGGCACGGGTCTTTTTTCAGTTTCAGTCCATTTTTGAAATGTTTTAAATATTTAAAGGATTCTAGACCCAAAAATTTAAATTTTGTCGATTCATTTATGCATTCCTGATGGAGCGGCTTAAAACACCATATATACATCGTCACTATTGTATTGTCTCAGTTTTGTCAAAAAGTGTCATGTCCCTCCTCATCCTGCATAATTCACTTACCGAAACCGCTGATGATTTGGACAATGACGATGATCATGAAGCCTGCAGCGACTGCGTGGTGGTGAATTCCGGCGTAGAGACCGTTTTCGATAGCATTGTACGGTTTGTTGGGGTTGTAGAGCACGTAGCCGTAAGCCGCCGCTGAGACACTAATCACTACCCCGGAAAGAGCGCCCGCCCAAGCTGCGACCTGCAACAAGTCATACTTCAGCTCAAACGTCTGCTTCTTATATTTTATATAGCATGAACGTGATGTTGTAACTAAAGCAAATTGGAACTCGTACGACAGTTGTATATAAATCATCCACGGACCTATTTACGAGCACAACATTTTTTGTAGAGCAGTTTTTGTCAAACTTGGTTGGGAAATCAGATTTGGAGATTTCGTCGGAAAATTTACTCCGGCGTCCTTGAGAATAATTTCCAAGCAATTTAGTTTTTTCTTTGTACCAAAAATAGCGTAACGCATCTCGCAGACATTTGCAGCAGATACATTTTCCCAACAAACCAACAGAAAGGTTCTTTTTTGTAAATATATTTATTTTCATGATCCACGCTGAATCCCTCCAAGGAATTGTACTTTCCTGAATTATCTTCACAAGCAGATGATCTTACTCAAATTTCTGAACAAATTAAAATCCGAATGAATTATGTCACGGTGCTTTTAAATACTCTAAGTGATTTCTCTGAATATCGATCATCTTAACTTATCTCCAAAAAATCTGCTAAAAGCAATTTTGGCACGTTTTGTACTAAATTAACGGTGTGCAACTATCCGCTTATCTACAAGTTATTTTGCTAACAATCAAAAACTCACACATGCTATTTGAACGTGTTTCTGCCAAACAGAACTATGCGCATCAGGACATGAGCCTTAAGACCCATAAGAATATATGCATAATTGGGCTCACGCCATAATTCACATAGTTCCGTTTGACAGAAATACGTCCATTTTATAACTCACCTTTGTAAATTTATGCCCATTTTTTTTCAGGTGATTCAGGATGAATGCCCCAGCTATTCCTACAACATATGGACCGGCCCGAGCGTGGCTTTTCATGTACACGTGTAAGAATGCTTCATGAGAGCGAGGCTTCGCTAGGTAACTAGAAATGAAATTGTCATTAAAATAGAGTACTTGCATGCGTTCATCGTACATACTTGATACCTGCAATACTTATTTTAACCCGTTGATAGAATAATTGTGACCGTGCAGGAACCTTAGAAATTTAACTATTGACTTTTATCTGAAAATTCAACGTTTGATTTGACTAATTAAATACATTATCTCGTGCTTTGATACTTTTAGCCGTATTTGAAGGTCTATAACATAGATTTTCTGGGGGAAAAAATCTGGAACTTGCCTCTAGACGTATAATGAATTTGTTTTCCCCGAAAAATTGTGAGTAAAACATTTTTGACAATGAGGAGCGCTCAGGAGCATTGTGAAAGCGGCAACTACACAATAAGACAAAGTTACCAATATCCTATATATTAAAATGCAAAGTTCCAAATCTTGGGGCATTAACTTTGAGAGAACCACCGGACCGATTTGCGTGATCTTTTTTTTAAATGAAAGCCCCTGAGCTGTAGATTTGCAGGCTGTGATCGTTTTTTCGATTATCTCAAATTTTCTCCCATAATTTTCTCAAATTTTCTTCGATGCATTAAAACGGAGGTCCGAATCTTTGGACGTTAACTTTGAGAGAACCACCGGACCGATTTGCATGATTTTTGTTTTAAATGAAAGCCTATGATCTGTAGATTTGCAGGCTGTGATCGTTTTTTCGATTTTCTCAAATTGTCTTACTTTTATCGACGAGTGAAGTTTAG